TTCCCATTCTGTATGGCTATGTCTAAACTACATTCCTCTTTCGAAAGAGGAATGTAAATGAAGCTGATCGAAAATTCAAATTAAGTACAGATTTACAAATCTCGCACCTTCATTTGCATAATCGCGCAAGAGTGCTTTTTCGAAAAAGGGTTTTTTGAAAAAGAAACTGTAGTCTAGACAGGGTTCTTTTGAAAAAGGCTTTCTTTCAAAAAAGGCTTTGCTAGATCACCTTACCTTAAAATTCCTTATGATTCATTTGGTTTTGACTAACTAAAAGTTTCACATCTCATTTTTTCAGGAGTACGGGTTCTTTTGAAAAAGGTTTGGTTTTTTCTCCGAAAGAACCCCATCTAGACTGCAGTTTCTTTTTCGAAAAACACTTTTCCGAAAAGCGCTCTCATGCAATTATGCAAATGAAGTGAAAGATTTGTAAATCTGTGCTTCATGTGAATTTTCAATCGGCTTCATTTACATTCCTTTTTCAAAAGAGGAATGTAGTTTAGACATGCCATAAGTGTGAAACTGATTGTTCCTTCCTAAGAGGACATTGCCTTTGTCCTTATTAAACTTCAACATGTTTACCTCAGACCATTTCTCCAGTTTGTCCAGATCATTTTTAATTTTGACCCTATCCCTGGCAACGTCTCTGAGCTTGGTATAATCTATAAACTTAATAATCGTGTTCTCTATGCCATCATCTAAATCAAAGATGAAGATATTGAACAGAACTGGTCCCAGAGCAGACCCCTGCAGAACCCCACTTGTTCTGCCCCTCCATTAATAACCACTCTTTGAGAACGGTTATCTAGCCAGTTATGCACCCACCTTACAGTAGCCTCCAGCTCGGTTGCAATTCTTTCTTTCACCCATATTCTTTTTGTTGTAAAATGTTTGAGGCAGAGTCTGTATCTTACTCCCAGCACAATGACATCTCAATCTCAGGTCAGGTTTATACTGCTGGTGGAAGGTTGGCTTAAGGTAAATAGTTTCAGCTACAACAATAACATAGCTGGTGTCAATGTACCTTAAGCTGAGTTAGGTGCTGTCTCCACAGCGGGAGATTGACAGGAGAAATGCTCCCATCAATTTCCTTTACTCCTCACAATAGCAAGGAGTACTAGCACTCAGTGTTCAATTTAGTGAGTCTTTACTAGACAAGCTGAATTGAACACCAGAAAATCGACAGCCAGAGCATCGATCCTTCCGTAAGAGGAGGCGTGGCTTCAGTTGTGAAATCTCAGCAGTGCAGTAATCTAATAACAATAGTTGAAAAATGCAAGCTAATCCACATCAGAAGGAACAATTTGATCCAAGTCACAAAAAGGTTTTAAATTAATCTCATCTGTCATCATGTGGCACAGTCCCCTGGTTTTGCTAGATCACCTTATCTTGAAATTCCTTATGATTCATTTAGTTTTGACTAAACTAAAAGTTTCACTGAACTGTTCAGTGACACCAATTTTATTCCTGAATTGTTATGGAGTCATGTCCTCTTACCTCAATAACAACACTACTACGGACATAGTCTATCCCAACTGGGGTTCTTTTGTCTAAGTAAATGTCTTCTGAGTGTTTGCTATTCTTCAGGATTTGCATCCCTTCCTGGCAGCAGTTTGTTCCACCATAAGCAAATGCTTTCGCTAGGTAAAAGAAAGAAGAAAGGAAGAAGAGATTTAAATGTAGTAAGATTGTCAACATCTTAAAAACATTTCTCACTTCAGGATCACTCTAAACTGAGTAGAGATCACCTCAAGTATTCTATAACTAAAGTCACTATTACTTGTGTGATAGAAATGTAGCCGTGTTAGTCTGGGGTAGTTGAAGCAAAATGCAGGACAATGTAGCACTTTAAAGACTAACAAGATGGTTTATTAGATGATGAGCTTTCGTGGGCCAGACCCACTTCCTCAGATCAAATAGTGGAAGAAAGTAGTCACAACCATATATACCAAAGGATACAATTTAAAAAAATGAACAAATATGAAAAGGACAAATCACATTGCAGAACAGAAGGGGGATGCGGGGGGGTGGGAAGGGGGAGGAAGGAAGGTAAGTGTCTGTGAATTGCTGATATTAAAGGTAGGGAGAGTGGGATGTTTGTGAGTTAATGGTATTACAGGTGATAATTGGGGAAACTGTCTTGGTAATGGGTGAGAAAGTTCAAAGACTTGTTAAGTCCTTGTTGGTAAGTGTCGAATTTTAACATGAATGACAGTTCAGAGGATTCCCTTTCAAGTGCAGATGTAAAAGGTCTTTGTAGCAGAATGCAGGTGGCTAAGTCATTTAGAGAGTGTCCTTTCTGGTTAAAGTGGCAAGAAACTGTTTTCTCTTTGTGATCTTGTCTGATATCTGTTTTGTGGGCATTAATCCTTTGGCGAAGTGTCTGAGATGTTTGTCCAATGTACATAGCAGACGGACACTTTCGGCACATGATAGCGTAGATTATATTTCTGGATGCGCAGGAATATGTGTTCTTGATCTTATAACTCACTTGGTTAGGTCCAATAATGGTATCAGCAGAATGAATATGTGGACAAAGCTGGCAACGGGGTTTGTTGCAAGGGAAGGTACCAGGGTTGGTATTAGTGTGGTATGTCCTGTGGTGGTTGGTAAGAATCATCTTGAGGTTAGGTGGTTGTCTATAGGAGACTATGGGTCTGTCTCCCAGAGGCTCTTTGAGTATGGTATCCTGTTCCAATATAGGCTGTAGTTTATTGATAATGTGTTGGACAGGTTTAAGTTGGGGGTTGTAGGTGATGACAAGTGGTGTTCTATTGTTGGTTTTCTTGGGTCTGTCTTGAAGTAGATGGTTTCTAGGTATTCGTCTGGCTCTTTCAATTTGCTTTTTTGTTTCTCTGGGTGGGTAGTTGAGATTTATAAATGCTTGGTAGAGATCCTGAAGCTTCTGGTCTCTGTCAGTGGGGTTAGAGCAGATGCGGTTGTATCGAAGGGCTTGGCTATAGACGATGGATCGTGTGGTGTGTTCTGGATGGGAGCTGGATGCATGTAGGTAACTGTATGAGTCAGTGGGTTTTCTGTAGAGAGTGGTGTCTAATTTTCCATTGTTGATTTGTACAATTTGAAGAAATTGTGTGAGAATTAACTTTATTTTGTTTCTCTGGTGAACAATCCCTCGAGTTATCATATTTAAGCACTAATATTGTGTCTTCTCAAAGTGACATGCAAAAGGAAGAGATTTTTTGCACTTTATATACTGTATACATTCCTGAGATGTTGTCCTTTCAATTTTATCTGAATTTCTAGTGTGTAAAACTAACTCCTGTTTATATGTTGGAAGAAATGACAAACTCATGCAATGTTGCCCTCACACAAGCCAAGACAAAGCTAAACAGAGTGGAAAAAGTCTCACAGGGGTAGCCATGCTAGTCTGTAACTTAAAAAAAACAACAAAAAACAAAAAACAAAAAAACCCCACAACAACCAAGTAGTCCTGTAGCACCTTAGAGACTAGCAAATATATGCATATAGGCTACGTCTAGACTGGCATGATTTTCTGCAAATGCTTTTAACGGAAAACTTTTCCGTTAAAAGCATTTGCGGAAAAGAGCGCCTAGATTGGCACGGACGCTTTTCCGCAAAAGCACTTTTTACAGAAAAGCGTCCGTGCCAATCTAGACGTGCTTTTCCACAAAAAAAGCCCCGATCGCCATTTTCGTGATTGGGGCTTTTTTGCGGAAAACAAATCTGAGCTGTCTACACTGGCCCTCTTGCGCAAAAGCTTTGCGCAAAGGGACTTTTGCCCGAATGGGAGCAGCATAGTATTTCCGCAAGATGCACTGATTTCAGACAGTAGGAATTTCAGTGTTCTTGCGGAAATTCAAGTGGCCAGTGTAGACAGCTGGCAAGTTTTTCTGCAAAAGCAGCTGCTTTTGCAGAAAAATTTGCCAGTCTAGACACAGCCATCTAGTATGAGCTTTCATGGGCATCTGAAGTGGGTTTATACACACACAAAATATATAAAAAGAAAATAAATTTATGTATTTAGTTGGTTGGTCTATAGGTTCTAGAGGTCTACTTGTTTTTTTTTTTTTTTTAACAGAGTGGAAAGGATTTTTAGTTACCACTTAGTTAAAATGCCATTTCTAGAAAAGGCTACAAATCCAACACTTTGACCACTTCAATTTAAGCGTTAGAGCTCACACTATATAAGTTATGAGAGCTCTCAAGGGCTCAACAAAATCATGATCATTCTCAGTTTAAAGGAAACTGTAGAAAGAGTCATGTTTAAAAAAAAAAAAAAAATTCAGGCCCTTTACACAAAATAGCAAGAAAGGACAAGCTTGAATAAAAAAAATCCTCCACAGCATCCCTGAAGAATAGCCTTCCAATACACTGAATGTGTTGCAGAACTTAACATTTTTTACATCCCTCTCTCCCTATCTCTTATCTTTCTAGCTACATAAATATATTGAGCAGAATGTTCAAGTAGTGTGTGTTTTGTGGATAGCTTATTTTAATTTACACATTAAATGTGTACCTTTTGACAGAAATAGTCAGCCCATTCATGGAAATCAGAGCTGCACAACCTTAGAGAACTACAAGTTCTAATATGAATGTACATGTAGTTTTGACAAGACCACTATAAATACGATGTTCTTTATCACCACAATCATTAAGATATTTAAGAATTGTAGCTGTCCTTTTAAATTGTGCATTACTTCCTAGGTATTTCAAAGATTTTTCTTCTTCTGCATACCATATAATCTCATACTAACCCTCTCCATTTTCACCAGCAATAATTCATGGGCTATTGCTCAAAGCCAGGAGCACTTAGTCCAAGAGACACAGCACTTTAACGCCTTTCTTCTACTGCAACACAGAAAAAGGTTTGCTCATATGAAGCTGTTCCCTATGCAACAGAAAATCTTTCATAATTTAGTCCGTATACTTCTTCCAAACCCTGTTATACGGTACTGGCCACCATAATTTAAATTACTCTAAAGTGCTTTAACAGTCAGATAGGAGTCCAGCACACAAGGTTTAACTAAAGCGTATTCATTTTATTTTCCACTAATAATTGGATATCCTACAGAAGGGCACATACAGTGAATCTGGCAAAGCTTATGAATAGCCGTAGAGGTTGAACAAAGTAGGATTGTAAGCTAACCAGATAAAAACCAAAGTTAAATCCCTGCCAAAGATCTTACATTTTCATCATTTACACTAAAAAGAGGATTTCAAACTGAACAAAATCCTTGTATATCTAACAATACATTCAGTCCTGGCTAGAGATTAACACGATGACAACAGGATGACTATGATACAAAACTTCTACTACTGTACACACCTGTTGTCCAAGCCCTCCCCAAGCCCCTTAAAGAGCTAGCCCCATTATTTGCTTGCTTGCTGAGCCTGCCTGCGAAGGAGGACGTAGATCTTCTCCTTGATCCAGTCTTTATTATAGGGTTGGTATGTCTGAGTGTCAGCACGGTACAATACTGAAGGACAAAAAAATGTTGCATTTCAGAAGAGGCTCAACAACTGTTCGTAAACATATCAAGTAATTATCCATATTTTACAGATGGTCAAATGAAAGCATAATCAGGCTTCAACTAAGTTGGAATTTTGTGTAAAGTGACCTTGATCAAGTTACACAGCAAATCAGTAGAAAACATGGAACAGAACCCAGATGTTTCAAGCACCAGTAATTAGGTCACCTTCTTTCTCCTTTACATTAAAATTTCAACTGTGTCCATCTACAGAAAATGAACAGACATCTCAAAATTAGAAAGCTTTACTTAAGTCATGAAATATTTCTTTAAAAATTGAAATGCTGATCTTTGAACTGAAGAGATGATGGGCATGGTATTCATTTTCAAATATTTAAGTGAGAAATTTGTAATTTAAGCCAGATTTTCTAACTGGGATTCAGAATAGTTAATAAAATAAAGCTCTTCCATTCACATTAGGCTTTATAGAGCAGTCTTCACTCACACCATTTCTTGCTCTGCCCTCCATGGAGATGGTGCTGAGAGGAACCGACTTTTAAGGTGGCCCCTGCTCCCCTCCCTCTTGCAAGGGGAAGGAAGCGACTAGTCACATCACTAGTCGACCTAGTTGCTTACATCCCTACTCAACCCAGGGAACAACTATATTAAAACATTGCCTCCACTTCTGCCAGTCCTACCTATGTCTAGCAAAAAGCAACTCAAGCTCATAAATCAAGTTAGATATTAGTACTTCGATTTGTTTCCCCTCATGCCAAATTTTAATCCTTAAATCTGACATGTCTCTTGAAATATGCAGTGCTTAACCTGGATACTCAGTTTAAAAAAAACTGTTGAACAAGATTAACAGAACATTTCTTAACACAGCCACCTGTGACAAGGACAAGAAACACATCATTAGAATTAAGTGGTGCATGGACCAAAAATTAAGGGTATGTCCACACTGGCAAGGTACTGCACTGTAACCTTCTCAAAAAGACACTTCCCTCCTGAGTGCAGCAAGTGACAGCACTGTAAAGAGCCAAGGTGGACAGTCCTACAGTGCTGGGAGCCACATTCTAGCACTGTTAACTACTTACTTCATGGAAATGATTTACCTAAAACCCAAACCCTAAGGGCACATCTACAGTACATGGAAGATCAACGCTGCCAAGATTGATCTTCTGGAGTTCAATTTAGCAGGTGTAGTATAGACTAGGGATGTAAGTGAGTAGCTGAATACCCGATAAGCCTAGGCTTATCAGAGCTGAATATTGCATCAGCGGGAGAGGACGAGCAGGAGCCGGTGCTAGGAGGGAGCCAGATTAAAAGCGGATTCCTGCCCCCCTCTCCCCCCCGACCATCTCTGTGGTGCTGCCTGCCTCTGGACTGTCACGACCACAGACTACTCCAGTAGCAGCCCCTGTCCGTGGTGGTGGTGGTGGTGGGGTCCCAGCTCCCCACTGGGATCACCCATGGACAGGGGCTGCTGGACCCAGTGCAAACCGGGACTGAGCAAGTCCAGCTCAGTCCCAGCTTGTGCCATGTCCAGGACCACTGCGGCTCTGCAGTTCATATGTACACATTAAAAATGCATAGCCACAGCAGTCTCAGACCCAGTGGAAGCTGGGACTGAGCCAGGTTTGCTCAGTCCTGGGCCAGAGACCTACTGCCACTGTGACTCTGCAATTTAAATGTAGTAGGGTCTAGGCTGCCTGTGCACTTGACTCCTACTACGTTTAAACTGGAGAGCTAGAGCAGGGGTAGCTCCCGGGCCCCGCATGAGCCAGCACTGAGCGCTTTCCTTTATCTAATCGTGTAGTCAATACAAATTGTATCGACTACACGATTAGCTAATTACCTGCCTTTTAACATCCTTAATACAAACCCGCCAAATTGAACTCAAGGAGCTCTCCCTCGGTGCTGGTACTCTTTCTCCTCACAAGGAGTTAAGCAAAGCCACAGGAAAGTTTGCGCCTGTCAACCTCCAGCTGCGTAGATGGGGATTTCAGATGAGTCGACTCCATCTATGTAAGTTACTGCATATCTTTCTTCTGCTTTCCCCAGGCCTAAGAGAGCTCTCTCCCAGTGCTCTTATTGTGACCCCACTGTTGTGTCAAAGCGCTTCCACAGCTACACTTCAATTTTAGAAGTGTAGACAAAGCCTATGACCTAATCTGTAATACCTTTTGACTCAGTCCAAGATATTAGAGGTTTTACAAAACAATCTACCCAAGACTGTAAAAATGTTTTTCAGTATCTCTATGCAATCGTAATAGATACATTCAGGATAAGTTACTGGGTTTTTATTAATTCTCAGGAAGCACTAAATGCATCTGAAAAAATCAGTAATTGAAGCTACACTGAAAGATCAGATACCAAACTGCTTAGATATCTGAGCGACTACAAACTGTACATAATACATTACACACTAAGAGTGCCATCTGGTGGGAAGCTATAAGCTAAAACCATTTTGTTCAAACACGCTTTAGCTTTACTAAAGCTTTGACTAGGTACCCGATTAAAAAAGCATACTATTGTACTAGAATAACAGAGTACAATTTTTAAAAGTATTTTTTAAAACAAGGATCCTATCTTTAGTCTGTCAGAAAAAAACAAAACATCATGATTGGTCAACCCTGCACCACCCCAATCTCACTAAGGGCTTATCTAGACTACAGGGAAAAGTTGAAAGAGGATATGCAAATTCTGCAGGAATCTGCATATCTTCTTCAGATCACATTTTCGAAAGCGTAAAGTTTAGACACGGCTTTTTCAGCGAACCCCCATGACAGGGCAGCAGAACCCCGCACTTGTGCTGGATGCGACGGGGTCATAGCCAAGTCCCACATGCCCGCCGAGCCGGAGGCAGCGTGGTAGAGTGCAAGAACACCCCACCTCCGGAGGTGGCCTTCTAGCGCATGCTCCCAGGCTGCCACCACTGGCAGGGAAGGAGGGAGCGACCGGATGGGGGTGGATGGCGGGGCCAGAAGGGACCGGCTGGCATCCCCAGCACAGCCTCGCCCTTGCAGCGGGGAGTTAAAAAATAGGCGGCCCCTGGCGAGGAGGGGGTAGGAAGGGGCGCGGAGGGGGTAGGAAGCCGGGGAGGAGCTGGCGGAGAAGGTCCCATGCTGGAGAGGGCACGGAGAGGCCAGTTGGCCTGAGACACTTTGGACGGTAGAAGGTCAGGTGAATCTGTGAGAGCTAAGTGGGGGAGAACCCACGACTGGCGGGTAGGACATGGCCCATGGCAGGATGCAGGAAGGAGCCCCAGGCATTGGTGCATTACGGGAAACTCTATACCAGCCAGACAGGGCTTCGCCACCCTGTCCTTAGGGCCCTGGGTCAGGACCCGGAGTGAGGGCAGGCCCGGGGCCCCCTACCGTGGCCCGGCAGCTGTGAGAGTGGTGCAAGTAGCTGTGGTGGCGTGGAATCCAAGACTAATCAGTCCAGGACTGGGCAGGCAAAGAGACTACACCATAAGACTTAAGGATCACTGGTGAAGGGAGATGGGTGTTGGGTACGGTGGGGGACAGCCGAGCAGGCTGTGATGTGGCAACTGTCCCCTCGGAGTCGCAGGACGCTGGCCCCAGCAGGACTAAAGGGGAAGTTCGGTGGGCAGCCCCAGGGAGGCAGCTCCCAACTGGGCCATTGGGTGCCCCATGCTGGGCATGGCCTCCGATTGGGGGCCAGAGTAACACAGGCACCAGTCTCAGAGGCAAGGTGCATCTCCATACGCGTCTCCATACCCGTGGCCTCGAGGGTCAGCAGCCTGTCACCTCCCCTTTGTCAGAGTTGCTTTTATGCGGCTTTTCGACAAGGGGGGGGGGTTGCCGAAAAAGCCGAATCTAAACTACTTTCACTTTCGAAAGGTGTTCGGAAGAAGATATGCAAATTCCCACAGAATTTGCATATCCTCTTTAGACTGTTCCCTGTAGTCTAGAAAAGCCTTGGGTGGGGATCAAGCACAAAAGGGGGAGAACTCAGGGAGACAAGATAAAGCCACAGAAACTCGTATAAGTGATCTTTTCATATCTCTCATAACTCAAATCCAAAGCCTGCAGGCTTTTTTCTAACTTCTCAAAATAGTGTTATAAAAAAAAAATAATTTTTTGAGTGCGCTTGTTGTATTAAAAATAGCCTCTCCGTTGCTGAATCAAGTTTTGTAGACTTACAGATCTGCACATGTACTACAGTCTGTAACTTCCTGCAAGTGTCATCCAATGCTCTGACAACCCTTTTGCGGTTAACTTGTGCTCTGATTATGAAGAGCAGCTGCACCCATGTCAGCTGAATATACAGAAAAAAGAACTTTAACTGAATGTCAGACTTGTCTTATCTCTACAAAATTTTAGGATGCAAATGAAAAATTAGCTGAATATTTATGGTATGAAGACCAGTTGTGAATTGCTAGAAGTGCTGAGATTTGAATTGTATTTTCCACAGCAGAACAAAAGAAATGGGTCTAGTTACTTATTCAGGTGTAGGAAAGTATGCAGAGTTTACAATACCATCTTGAACTGACCTCATCTTTAATACAAAAATAAGAACACTAGAGACTAAAGGCAAGATGAATGATTCAAAACCATCTAGATGACTTAGGAACACAAACCCTGTTGACTCTCAGTAACAGTTGTGCTCGCAAGCCCCTGAGGTTGTTGTTTTTTTTTAAATCCTACCCCATGTTTCTGCCATGCAACACTCCATCTTGATCCATGTGAACAGATACTAAAACTGCAGCATGTTCTGTTAGGTGCAGCTTGCAGGCTCCCTCACACATTGCCAATATAGTCCTCAGTGGGTAAGATTTACCAACACTGCGGATTCTTCAGAATTAAACCATAATATAAAAGGTTTATAAGCATTCAGCTTGCATGAAAGACGTTCTTATGAAGTTTTTGTTAAGTTATGGATGAAGTACTAGCTCTTACAATTTATAATGGGATTTGCTATTCTATTGAATTTTGTTTGGGTACAAATACTTAGTCAAATATTATTGTGGATAAGATCTGAAATGGAACTATCAATTTCAGAGCTATGTGTACTTATTCTCAGACAAATGTCATGTTTCACTGCAACTTGCTAGGAGTGATATGGAATGCCAACCTATTTTATGCAACATGGGTGCTTCATCAACACAGCTAACTACACCATACTGAACGCAAGAGCATTTTAAAAGGGAACCATCACTTATTTCTGATCAGCAACTGATAGGTACAGGTGAGAATAGCAAACAAGATTAGAATTTTTCAATTTCATAAAAGCACCTTATGGAGATGCTAATTCAATCACTGTACTGAATCAAAACTAATAAAATACAGATAAGATTATAAAGTATTACTTCACAGATTTTGTACATAATCTTGTAATTCCTTGTTACTTTTATAATATCTATTTTCCGCAAATGGGAGGGAAGCCATCCCCTCACCCACAAAACAGGATAGGTGTCTAAGGCATTCACACAACAGCAAAGTACTTACACAAGACAGCTGAGGTCTGCCAGGTCATCAATAAAATCAAACAACTGGCTGATATCATATGTAATGGATGGGCTGTTGGGATTCATTCTCTTCAGATGTTCTTCATACATTTTACAAACTCCTGTAGAGAAAGAACTTTCAGTATCAACCATAATGGCATTAAAAGGCCACTGATTGCAGTTTGCCTCAAGTTCCTTTTGGTATTAAAGTTACAGGGAACAGTAAAGTTTATAGACACACATTAGGAATGGGAACAGGTATGCTGTAGAATTGTTTTACTAGACAATGCCAGTCAGTTTTAATATTTTATTTCAATTTTACAATGTTGATTAGTTCTCATAATTGTTTGTATAGCACCCAGAACACACTGATGTGGGAAATGAATTGCTGTTATTTACTAAGGATGTTAATTGTGTGACCAGATATGTGCTAACGGATAAGCCTGGGCTCATTAGGCAATCTTAAATTATACATACCAGCTCCCTGCCAGCACCAGTTCCCACCTGCCCCCTGTGTATAAACATGTAACTGCTTAAAAAGAATTCAGCGGTTACACATACACAAAAGATGTTTGCTAACATCCCTATTATTTACACCTTGTTAAAGTACAGGTTGAACCTCTTTGATCCGGCACTCTCGGGATCTGACCCGTGCCGAACCAGACAATTTGCCAAACCACAGGAGGTCAATGTCTAGCAGCATTACCAACACTTCTACTGTTTACTGGACTGTTAGAAAACATTTAGTCATTAATTAGAGCTAAACTGTGCAGAACACTGAGAGCAAGACATAATTTTACAAAGATATACAATATATTTGGGTTTTTGGAGTGAGTATACAGGCCAAAAAAATTAAAATGATCATGTTGATGGTTCCAAGGCAGCAGTTAAGTTGACAAATCCTGGCAATGGAGCTGTCCATCAGGATCAAACAAGGAAGTAAATAGTTTCAAAATGGAGCAACTGACTTTGATGCAGGAAGAAAAAGTTCCTCTTTTCCAAACGTAAATAGATCAGATTATAGCAGGGATGAAAATGTGAAAGCAAGTCAATATTTCCCATCTTGGAAGAAAGTCTAAGAACTTTTTTTGGGCAACTCAAGAATTGTCTAGCTGAGGTAAACAAATTCAGTTAGTACATTAAGATATTAAGAACTAATGTGATGGGAAGTGAGTCTGGCCCACGAAAGCTCATCACCTATTAAACCATCTTGTTAGTCTTTAAAGTGCTACACAGTCCTGTTTTTTGTTAATGTGATATAGCACAGTTTTTAAATGTTAACCCGGTCAGGTCTTATCTACATTATGTTGCTGTGTAATTCTAAATGAAACACTCCAATTGTTTCATGTGTGGTTATGCAAAGCGAGGTTCTATGTTTCTCAGAGCCTGATCCTTAAGTGTTGAACACTCATTCTATTGACTTGAATGAGAGGAGTAAGCCTCATTATGAGAGGTGCTGAGCTACCAGTGAATCCTTAACAAAAGCAGCCCTTTTTATATGTGAAAACCAACCATCCCTGCAAACTAACGTGTGTCTGAAAGTCAAACTGACACTTTTTGGTTCTCACATTACTAGTAGCAGAGTTTGTGATTATTCAAAATAATAAGAGCTAATCAACTAAATAAATACTATTTCACTGTTCATAGCAGCATTTGGTTTGTAGGGGGGTAACAAATCAGTAGTTAGACAATTAGGACATATCCGACAATAAGATGCACTTAGGCAGATTACTTGCACAGTACTAGGGGTGTTAAATAGCAGTTAGTAAGCTAATCAAGTAGTCAATGGAATTTCCACCAACTACTTGATTAGGTGAGAAGGGAGTCTGGTGTGGCTCTGCCTTTTAAATCTACTCCTTACTACATTCAAAAAGCAGAGGTGCAGCATTGCATCCCTTGCAAGCAGGGACTCAGCTGTCCAGCTCACACCTGGTTTCCTGCTGTGCCTCTGCCTCCTCTGGCCCACCCCCTGCAGCGGAGCTGTTGCTGGGGGGTGGGAAAAGGGGAGGGGATAACCAACTTTTAAGCCAGCTCCCCTCAACACCCGCTTCTGCTCCCTCTGTCTTAGCTCTATAAGAGGCAGCATGGTGGGGGAGCAACTAATAGAATAGCAACTCCACCAGCAGCTTACATCCCTACACTGTATGCATCTTATTGTGGTGTCAGTGCCTTAGCCAGTCAAGGACTTGGAATAAATACAGGGAGAAAACTTGTGAAATTATATAAAGAGTCTTTTTGAAATAACTTTCACCCCCATGTGCACTTCAGTTCTGCAGCATTCTGCTACAAGAATAGGGCATTTTTTTATTACGTTATTTTTATACCATTTCAATTTAAGAAAATTTATATGGAGTGGATTCTCTCAGCAGGTGAAAGTTTGGAAAAAATAATCAATAATAAACTGGTCTTAAGAAGAAGAGATCATCTAAAGCATCTTCACCCGAGAGGCAGCAATACTTACCTTCCATGCACTCATTCACTGATTCATAGTCAGCATATGTTCTCCCTTCTGGCCTCTTGGTAGGCTGAACAAGCAAAATTGTGTGAGACTGAACAAAAACAAGACAGACACACAGACTTAGAAATACACATTAAAATCCAAGACTGAACTGAAATTTAGAAAACCAACCCATGACACACAAATTTAGCTGTATTTCAAAGTAAACATATATTATGTACTTCTAACATACAAACCTTACTGTCTGAAGGGGAATCAGAATAAGGGCCTTAAAATGGCTTGGCATTTCTTCCTAAACAAATCCTATGAGGTCACTGTAGTTCCAAAAACAAATGTCACATTATACCATGAATTAGAAATCAAAAAGAGGGCTGCCTTGCGGCATTGTTTTGGCCAGCAATTTTTTTTATTCCAATCACAGTTACATTAAACCTGGGATTGTCAATGCATACATGTGCGTCTCTCTTGGATAACAATTTTGGATTACTTCACACTGAATACTGGCTGCATTCAAGACATTATTCAAGGGCTTAGGCTCTTTCAAAAGATATGAAAATTTAGAAAAAAAAACGACATATGGGAGATTATGTGGATTTGTTTATTCTATGGTAAGTGCTGGCCATTAATGGTTTTGTTTAATTTCTCTTATTTGTATAAAGTTCCCCCCCCCCCCCCCTGAAAGTGGGTCTCAGCATCTCCCTTAATTACACTTCAACCAGAAACAACTGCTAAACTGAGATCTGTCTATAGATCTATCTGAGCAATAGACCATTAACAGCTTTTCTTCTATACAGCTTTGTTCCTTCATTTTTCTATATATACAGTGCAAGATTAACTAGGGATGTAAGCGAGGAGTTGAGTACTCACTCCCCCCCTTGCCCGTTGCTGCCTCTATATCAGAGGCAGTGGGGGAGGGGAGAACAGGAGCTGTCTTCATGGTGCTGTCTTCCTCCCCTCTCATCCCCCGCCTCCCCCCCTGCACTGGCAGCAGCAGGGGTTAGGGGAGGCTGCCCTGAAAGGGGGAGGGGGGAGAGGTTGGTACCATAAATGATGGAAAAACAAGGTCAAACTTTCATTTCATGCATTGCAAATTTCACCTCAAGGTGAAAACCCAGCACATGAGATTGAGTATTCAACATCATTTACAAGTGAACTCAAAAGTTCCACAACTATAGTCTGCAGTTAGTTATTTGAGAATGGATGTATTTTGATTTCTTGGACTGTAGCTCCTTGCACTGCTATTTCTTCAACCCATCTGATACCAGACGTAATAGAACTGTCGCCTGACCTGCTATAGCCACTTCTATTATGCTCTTATTGGGTTTTTTAAAAATGGCTTTAATAACCACCTACGGACATCTGCATGCAAACATGTTTACCGTAGCAAAAAACCAAAGTACTAAGGCTCAGCCCTCACCATTTACTCTGTACCCATGCAGAAAGGCTTCTATGAACTATAAATTAGCTCTTAGCAACATGACTAAAATGCTGTCTTCACAGCGAACATCAGAGAAGCAAGGGGTGGAAAAAGGACAGAACAGCACTGTTATAAGTACAATCAAGTGAATGAAGGTGGTATATAGCAGATTTTAAAAGTCTCAGAGGGGTAGCTGTGTTAGTCTTTAACTTTAAAAACGAGTAATCCTATGGCACCTTAGACACTCATCTGAATTAGTTATATTCTAAGGCAGAGGTGGGAAACCTTTTTTGGATTGGGGGCTGCTGACCCACAGAAAAATCAGTCAGGGTGGGAGGGAAGGGGAGAACACAAGTGAAAAGCAAAATAAAAAAAGCCCAACCCTCACTAATATGGAGCCCCAACTGAGAAGGAGAAAGATACTCCCCACATTCCCCTTACACACTAGAGCCTAGGAGGGCCCAGGCTAGTTGAGTTGTATGCTCCAGCTCCACAACTGGAGAGCAGAGGGGGCTGGAGCACCCGCATGGGCTCCCCAATGCTGGAGGGGGAGAGAAGAGTCCCAAGCCTCGGGGGCCAGATCCAAGCAAGCTGGGGGCCACATCCAGACCCTGAGCCTTAGGTTCCCCAGCCCTATCCTAAGGTGCCACAGAACTACTCGTCGTTTTTAGGATTTTAAGTTACTTCTGATGTCAGCTAGAAGTAGTAGCTTGAGTTAATTGTAGAATTTCACTCAAAAATGTCAAAGATACATTAGCCCAGTGGTTCTCAAAGTTTCTGGGCTCCGGAGCCCTTTACATGTGTAAAAATTTATGTGGAGCCCCAGCGGTCCACTGATTGTATGTGTTGTACCTATCGATGTTTCCAGTCTGTCAACCTCACGGAGCCCTGGGACTCTGTGGAGCACAGTTTGAGAAACACTGCATTAGCCTATAAAAAGAGTGCTTACCATATTATCCTCTCTCACAGGTAGCTATTATATCAATCAATTACACTTTGTTTTCCTAACATATAAAGAGGGCCTTGGGTTCCAAGTGAACATAGAAACATTTGAATAAAAGGAACTTGTTTAACGTCACCAACTCCCACAAATTCAAAGCAGCAGCTCTTTGAACAAGGGTATATAATTATTGAAAAGTGACCCGCAAAAGGTTTTGTAAAAATTGGACTCGACGCTCCCTCGCCCCCGCGTGTGTTGTCCTCCCATCGGGGCCTTTTACAGGCCAAACAGACCGAGAATTTCTCGTGTCTTGTGAGGGCGAAAACACCGTCGCGGGCCCCACGTGTGCAGCGGAGAGCGGGAGACAAAGCCCGGTCACTGAGCGGGCAGCGAGCTCTTGGCGGGGCAGACACGTGCTGCGGAGGGTAAGGAAGCTGCCTGCGGGCACCAACACGGGCCCGGCCCTGCCTGCGCAATGAGCAGCCAGGGCTGGAAATGCCCATCGGGGAGTCAGGGCCCCGATCGGGAAAAAACCGCCACCCCGCGAGGGCCCCCGTGATCCGGCACCGACTAGCCAGGCTCCCCCCCGCCCCCCCCCCCCCGACGTCGCTCGGTCCCGGGGGCGGGAGAAGCCACGCGGCTGGGGACCCCGCCAGGCCGCAGCGCTACGTCGCCCGCAGCAGACTCGTGCCCACCGGAACTACAGCGCGGCCCCCCCCACCCGGTGCCTCCCACCCCGCCCGGGATCGGCCCCTTCTCACCATAGCGACTCGTTCTCCACAGCCCCGCTGACTGTGACGGGCCCGAACTAACAGCGCCCAACGGTCCCCCACAACCCCTCGCGCTAACCGGAAGCACTGCACCAACCGCCAACCAGCGCGCAGCTCCTTGCCATAGATTTCACAGCACTAGAGCAGAGCGCCGCAGGGCCTATTGAGAAACTGTCGCGAGAATGCCACACGGCGAGGCGATCCCCCTGGCGTTGTGCATGCTGGGAGGGGCGTAATGGCCCCGTCCTTTGACACTTTAGCGGCCATCTTTGGTAGGGGCACCCTGTCCTATCGGAGACTTTGCGCTTCCCGCGCCTTCCAAGATGATTTCTTAAGGAGTACTCGTCCGCCATCTTGGAATCGGGCGGCAAGTGGCGACAGAAAGTGAGTCACGTGAGAAAGTCGCTTCCCTCGCCCCTCCCCCGCCCCTTCCCCGTTCCGCTGAGGGGAGGATAATCCGGAAGCTGCTCGCGGATCTGCCACTTGGCCTCTATGGCAGCCGCGGGGGACGTCGGGCGCATGGGGGAGCCTGGAGCCTGAGCTCCTCGCTGAGCCGCTCCCCGCCTAGTCCCAGCAGCGGCAAGGCGAACGCGCTGCCCGCGTCTCCGGGTTAGGAAGGGGCAGGCTCCCGCTACGGAGCTGCGCTCGGGGGCGAGCGGCCTTTCTGTGGCACCCGGGGCTGGTCCCGTCGGTGAGCGGGGTGGGTCCTGCTCTCACCCCGGCGATCAGGTGCCCTCTGGCCCCAGGCTGTGGGAGAGGAAGGGCCTTTCCGCTGCGCCGCGGGTGGCCGAATCCGCTGTGACCCTCGGCAAGGGAGGCGGGTGAGGGAGAGGATCTTGGGGTCCCTGCTGCCGTTGTCAGATCCAGGGATCAGGGCCAGGCTCGCGGGGTTTCTCTCTCACACGCTGAGCTCTTGGGAGAGGGTGGGAGCTTTTGGCACCATCTGGGAAGAGGCGTCTCTGACCTTCATGACTCGGTTGGAGCCGCAACACCTGCACAAGTTGAAAAACTACATGCAGTAAAAGCTGGAAAAGTTGAATTTCACTTTAAGCGAGTGGACAAAAAGCAACAACATGGATGATTTCATCTCCATCAGTCTTCTGTCTCTGGCAATGCTGGTTGGCTGTTATGTGGCAGGGATTATCCCTTTGGCAGTTAATTTTTCAGAGGTAAGCAGGTCCCACCAGACTCTAGTCCTTGTCATACAAGAATATTGGGAATGAAAGAAAACACACTGATCAAGTCATCTGCTGCAGTATTGTTACCAGTGGCAGTTTAAGGAAACTTTGAGTGAAATATTACATCTCATTGTACATTACAGCACAGAATCTGTGATGACTATAAAATGTATTTTAAAATTGCTTTAAAATGAATCATACTGTTAATTTGGAACTGCAGATCTGAACCTCTCGGTGCCATATGTAGAACAAAGACTTCTCATCAGTAGTAAGGAGTTTACTGATGGTAACGATTATTTTTTTAATGGTTTAGATGATAAACTGTTGGAGGCAGGGACTGCTTTTTACTGTGTCTTTACATTGTCTGGGTTGAGGCTTCTAAAAACAGTAATACAAATAATAAGAGAATTTCTCTACAAAACTTGTTCTGAGTTAGCAGTTTAGTTGTTCAAAATTTACACTATTAAAAGGATGGTTGCTGTCCCTTGTAATACAAAACTATTTTCTGCCTTTTTTAGGGTAAATCCATATTATCTGGCAATGGAAAACTAAGGAAAAAATAGCTATTTTAATGGATTTGATGCAAAATGATTGAGATACAAGAAGTTACATGTTAGTGTTATTCAGTACCACTGAGAGATTGGGTCTGCATTAATAAAGGTCTCTAGAAACAATCTTAAATGTTCCCAAAAGCCTGATTGCTAACGTTCATTCTCACATTTAGAAATAACAAAATGATAGTTTTGTAACCTTAGGATACTAAGAGTTTAGTTGTCCACTTCTCATTTGGATATTAAGTTCGAACATTTTGAATTGTATGTCTGTTTTGACATTTTTTAGTTTATTTGGTTTGAGGATTAATCTTTCTGTTAATAAAATTCAGCACACTAGCAGGTAACATAACCTCCCTGACTCTGCTAGATAAAGAAATAAGGAATAAAAGTCCAAAATGCATTTTTGTTTAAGTGTGTGGGAATGCAAAACTCCTGCAGCTGAGATTATTTTATTAAAATACAACCTCAGTGCAGTTTATTATTATACAGGTTGGACCTTCCTGGTCCAGAGCCCTTGGTACCTGAGCAGTCCCAAACCAGGGAGTTTGCTGGACCAGGGGAGGTCAGTGCTCCCCTGCTGGCTTCCCCACTCATGGGCTCCCACCCTGCTGCCCGTGCTGCTGCTGGGGATTCCCCAGAGCTTCCCAGCCAAGAATTCCCTGTTGCCGCTTGGCCCTGCTGCCACCATGGGTTCTCTGGCCAACACTGCCTGGCCAACCTAGCCCCATTGCTGCCAGGAATTGGGTACTCCGGCTGGGGCTCCCTGGTCCTGATGATGCTGGGGAGTTCTCCAGCCAGGCCTGCCCAGCCCGCTGCCACCAGGGATTCCCTCAGTTTCCTGGCCCAGATAACGCTGGCTGGTTCCCCAGCTGGGGCCGTCCAGCTGCCACCAGCCCCACTGCTGGGGTCAGTCCTGCTACCGCTGGGAGTTCCCTAGGGTTCTCTGGCTTGGGGCCCTGCTGGTGCAGTAAGTTTCCCAGCTGGAGCAGGAGCTCCTCATTTGCCACCTGGCGCAGCTGACACCAACAATTCCATGCTGGGGTGCGAGCTCCCTGTTGGCCACCTGGTCCTGGTAATACTGGAGGTTCTTTGGCCAGGGCGGGGCTCCTAATCCCTGCTTGGCCTTGCTGATGCCAGGGGTGCCACAGCTGGGCCAGGGCTCCCCAGCCACTGCTGGCCCAGTCAGGGCTCCCAGCCCTGTGTTCTCTGGCTGGCCCCCACTCCTGCCTCCAGGGCTCTTTAGTCCAGCAACGTGCATGACCCTGCCGGACCAGAGAATCCCGGATTTGGGAGGTTCAATCTGTAACACAATTTGGATCTTTTTTTCTGCTTTGAGAGTGCCTAATTTTCTAACACTTGCCTTACACTTCTCCATGGCCCAAAATAAACTCATCTCTTATTAAAAATCTAAGGGGTAGCCATGCTAGTCTGTAACTTTAAAAACAGCGAGTAATAACATATATACTATCATGAGCTTTCGTGGGCATAACCCACTTCTTCAGATGAGATAAATGATCTTGATCATCTCATCTGAAGAAGTGGGTTTTGCAGTTTGCTTATGAATGTGTGAGTGCAATATGTGAAATTATTTTGTTGATGTGATAGCTTGAATGTTGTGAATTTCCTACTTGCTTTTATGTTTGATTGCTTATTGTCAATTATATGAAAACCTAGGGTCAGATTCTTTGTGATGCTGAGTCATCCACACTTTGACTTAAATGGGAGCTGTGAATGTGATACATACAGCCTTTTTATATGGTGTCAGTAAGGTCACAGTGGAAACATCTAGTTCTTAGAGAGTTTTTTTCTCTTTAAAACAGCTAATGTTTTCTGGAGTATAGAAAAATTGTGGAACGGGATGACCTTTTTGGACTTAATTTTTTAAATAAATGGGTTACAAAGAGATTAAAATATGTCTGAATAAAATGCCATCTACTGCAGGGCTGTGTGTGGGGTAGGGATGTTAAATATCGATTAATTGAATAGTCAATTAACCTCATGAATTCTATTCAGCTAATCAACTATTCTGTAGTCCCCAGGGCCGGCAGCCAGTGCAGTCTGGCTCTGCTCCCGGGGAGCCCCCAGCCAATCTGCAGTGCTGTCTCTGTATCAGAGGCAGCAGCATGGGGTTCCAGGCAGGAGCTGGTCTGCGAGGGGAGCCAGTTTAAAAACCAGCTCCCCTCATGGAATTGCTGCCTGTAGCCCAGTGCTGCTGCCTCCAATACAGAGGCAGCAGTGCAGGATAGCAGCCCCTGTCTGGGGGAGTCTGAACTCCCAGACCTAGTGCAAGCCAGAACTGAGCCAGGATGCCTGCCCGCCTGGTACCTAATACACTTTAAATGCAGAGCCGCAGCAGGCCTAGATCCTGGACATGCCGTGATCCAGGACTGAGCCGGGCTTCTGGCCAGCCTGCTAAAAAATGTACTGGCAAGGGAGAGAGGGGAATACGTGTAGTCTATAGCATTAACCTACAAGCTTTTGATTATCAGTTAACAGTTAATCAACTACACTATTACATCCCTAGTCTGGGGGGTTGATATTGAATATCAAAGCAACTATTGAGTTTATAATTACACTCGATCCACTTGAACTATATTGACATATGTATTTCTTGTACTAAGGAATTTTGCTAGCCAGATCCATTACTTCATAGAATTCTAAAACTGGAAGGGACCTTGAGAGATCATTAAGTCCAGTTCCCTGCCCTTGTTACTTATACTTTTGTTTTGTGCTAATGTATACCATTTATTTCATCACAAGTCTTTCATAACTTTGCAAATAAGGATTTGCCAATACAGACTGAGACTAGATAAAATGAGGCTCTGTTGTAAGTAGGCAAGCTTCTGCTGGCTTCAGCAGCATTTCTCTCACACCAGAACTGCATTCAGATATGCCATTTCAGCTCAGTCCTAACCTGCAAGTACTTCTTTCTTTTCCAATCTTCTGCCAGAGACTTATCTGTTGGGTTAAACTTTGTGGCATGAAATTGGTAGATAATGGAATCAGACTTCCAAAGTTGACTTTTTTTCCCCACAATTAAGGTCTTCTGCCAGAGACTTGCATGAAATTGGTAGATAATGGAATCAGACTTCCAAAGTTGACTTTTTTTCCCCACAATTAAGCGACAGACACCTTGTGTTAATTTAATGGTACTTGTCTGCTTAAAGTTAAACATATGCATAAGTCTTTGCAGGATTGGGGCTTTTGTTTAGATGCCACAATATTACAGCTTTTAAGCAAGAAACTTGACTTCACTTATGGAGAAATATTGAGCAACTTGCTAATTTGGGTGCCTTGTTTTTCCTAGGTTTTGGGAAAACTGGTATTATTTTTCTGTCAGATTGAATATACTGTTAAACTAAATTTTTAAGCACTATGGAATGTTATTTGAACAGATTTTAGAGGCAGCAATGCAGGGGAAGGAGAGGCAGCAGATGGAGACAGTGCTGGGGGGAACCGACTTCTGTCCCTCCAGGACCGGCGTCTGTCCTCCCCCTCTCCCCCCCCGTTTTCTGTCTCTGATTCAGAGGCAGCAGAGAGGTGGGGAAGTGAGTGTTCAACTCGACTACTCACATCCCGAATAAAGACAACTTCTTGCTCAGCACTTAAGCACCAGTTCCTACCAGATCCGACAGTGGTAAATATCAGGTGTTTCAAACAGGTAAGTGATCACCAAGTGATCCATCCTCTGTCATCGAGTCCCAGCTTCTGACAAATAGAGGTTAGGGCACACTTAGAGCATACTGTTGCATCCCTGACCATCTTGGCTAATAGCCATTGATGGATTTATGCTCCAGGAACTTATCTAGTTCTTTTTGAACCATATAGTTTTGTCCTTCACAACATCCCCTGGCAATGAATTCCACTGATGTGAAAATATATTTTCTTTTGCTTGTTTTGAACCTATTGCCTGTTACTTTTATTAGATGGCACTCTGGTTCTTGTGTTACATGAGGAAGTAAATAACATTTCCTTATTCACTTTCTCCATACCAATCAAGGTTTTATAGACCTCTATAATCCCTCTTAGTGATCTATTTTCAGCTTGAAAATATCAGTCTTTTTAATGTTTCTGATAGAAGCTGTTCCATACCCCTAATACATTTTGTTGGTCTTCTCTGTACCGTTTCCATTTCTAATGTATCTTTTTTTGAAATGGGGCAATGAGATCTGCACACAACACTTGACCCAAGGTTTAAGAATCTGAAGTGCCATCCAAAATCTGCAAAGGATGGGGTGTCAGGAGTCTTAAAAGAATAGCGTTCCAGTAGAGAAACCACCGAAGAAGAATATCAACCTTTTGCTGGTGGCATCTGACTCAGATGATAAAAATGAACATACACCAGTCCTCACTGCTTTGGATAGTTATCGAGCAAAAGCCATCATCAGCACTGACACATCTTTTGGAATGGTAGTTGAAGCATGAAGGGACATATGAATCTTTAGTGCATCTGGCCTGTAAATATCTTGCAACACCAGTTACCACAATGCTACAACAAAGTGAATGCCTGTTCTCACTTTTAGGTGACATTATAAACAAGAAGCAGGCAGCATTATCTCCTGCAAATTGTAACAAAACTTGTTTAAGTGATCTGCTGAATAAGAAATAGGACTGAGAGGACTTGTAAGTTCTAATGGTTTGCATTGCTTTATTTTTTAATTCAGGTACATTTGTAAGTTCATCTTTCATGACAAGAGATTGTATTTCAGTATTTGTATGAGGTAAATTGAAAAATACTTTTTTGTTTTTTTACAATACAAATATTTGTAATAAAAGTAAATATAAAGTGAACACTGGACACTTTGTATTGTTGGGGGAAAGGTACTAAATGAAATTAATGGGCAGCAAGTTTAAAATAAATACAAGGAAGTATTTATTGATGCAGGAATAAGCCTTTTTCCGAAAGAACTCTTTCGGGAAAAGGCATGTGTGGACAGGGTAGAGGGAGTTCTTTCGAAAGAAGAGAAAAGAGGAGAAAGCACAGATGCCCTGGCTGCTACTCTGTCCATAGTAATCACAGCTTAAATGCGAGATAGCGTCCATTCAGTGTGAACGCTATCTTTCGAAGCAGATCGCTTTTTCAATGTGCTTTTGCTGTACAGACGTTGTCTTACGGAAGAAGTTTTTTTGGAAGATCTCTTCCAGAAAAGCTTCTTCCGAAAGAAGCCTGCAGTCTAGACATAGCCTTGGGGGAGAAGAATCCTAAATTAAGACTGATAAATTCTAACCCATTGTGCGTTTCCAATAGGGTAGATTAAAAGCATTGATTGTTTATCAATCATAATTTAAACCAGCAAGCAGAAAATCTTATTTTAAATAATCAATTTTAATTTTGATTTCCATTTGTGCTTTTTATGGTTTTCCTAAAGAAAGGTTGATTCTCATAGTTGATAATCATTAAAACATGTTAGTTTGAAACTAAATATAATCTTTAAACTAAATTTGCTCCTCCCTTTTGCTAACTAGACGGATTTAGTGTATTTCAGCACACTTATTTAATCAATTACATAGGTTAACATACATTTATTCAGACTTTTAATTTTTATATTATATTATGTTAGAAAATAGTGAATGTTACATTTCTTATTTACTAGATTTAATTTTTATTTGTCATTTGTGTCAATCTACATTTGTATAGAAATGGGAATTCAGGTGAAATGGATGAAAAACACGTTTTAATTTTTTTTTAAAATAAAACTACTGTGAATATGAATACACAAGAAGAAAGTTCATCAGTGTTATGCTTTTAAAAGTATTGTTTTAATATTCAAGAGTATTATGTTTGGTTAGTAAATTGAACTGATTATTTCTGGTCATCATAGCCTTTAAGATTTTAGAACTAGTAGATCTCATCCTCTTGCACCTCATTTGTATTCACAAACTTTCCTGCTTTTCAACTCCCATTTGGGTCCTTAGCATTGAATGAATTAGCTGTTGAATTGAACTAGTTAAATAAACTGAAAAGAAGATACTCCCTCTGCACCTACAGAAGAGGCTAATTCTATCAGAAGACAGTTAATCTAGCACTTCAACAAACTGGTTCAGGTGCTTAGCCAGTGATTTCAACCAGTTCAGTGATTTGACTTACTTCAGCAGCAAACGTGTATTTTTGGAATGTTAGGTTTTTATTTAAGCTAAATGATTGTAGTAGATGATAGTACAGGCAGTCCCCGAGTTACGCGGATCCGACTTATGTCAGATCCGCAGTTACGAACAGGGTTTGCTCCGCGTCTCCCTGGTCTCCAGCAGACCAGGGAGACGGGGAGCAAAGCCTCTGAGGATGCCGGCAGCGGGACAGCTGCGGCGCGTCTGGGCTGTCCCGCTGCCCGCATGCTCCGCAGCTTTGCTCCGTGTCTCCCTGGTCTGCTGATCTCCAGCAGACCAGGGAGACGGGGAGCAAAGCCTCTGAGGATGCCGGCAGCGGGACAGCTGCGGCGCGTCTGGGCTGTCCCGCTGCCCGCATGCTCCGCAGCTTTGCTCCGTGTCTCCCTGGTCTGCTGATCTCCAGCAGACCAGGGAGACGGGGAGCAAAGCCTCTGAGGATGCCGGCAGCGGGACAGCTGCGGCGCGTCTGGGCTGTCCCGCTGCCCGCATGCTCCGCAGCTTTGCTCCGTGTCTCCCTGGTCTGCTGATCTCCAGCAGACCAGGGAGACGCGGAGCAAACCCTGTTCGTAACTGCGGATCTGACATAAGTCGGATCCGCGTAACTCGGGGACTGCCTGTACTGTAGTGTGTTAGTGTTTGGCAGGGCATGGTGGGTCTTTGAATGAGAGAGCTCACTTTAACACTGGATTAAAGTAATCCCATAAATATCGCAAGAGAGACTTGCAATGTATCCATCCTGCCTTGATCTGTGGATCAGGAGCTGAAGTTTTTCATGCTGTTGGTCCTTTCAGCACTTGAGCAAAAATATTGATCAAATGTTAAAGTGCCTGTTTTTTGTGGGGGGGATAGGAGAGGTTTTTGTTTATTACTAAAGAATGTTACTTGTTTTATATTTGTTTGCAGGAAAGGTTAAAGCTGGTGACAGTTTTGGGTGCTGGGCTTCTCTGTGGAACTGCCTTGGCGGTAATTGTGCCTGAAGGAGTACATGCACTTTATGAAGACATTTTGGAGGGTGAGAAAAAAACAAAACAAACAGCGTCACGTCCTTTTGCAAAACAGTTGATAAGTGAGAAAGGCACAAGACTGAATTAGCAGACAATATATCATGATGTCCTATTTTATTAATGAAATGATATACATTAATTGTACAGCCAGTTTCGCTGTATGCTACCTGAAAGTAACCATATTCTGATTGACTCTTATCTAGTCATCCACATTTTTTAATTGTAAAACTAGTGAAATACTTAATAAAGACTTGATTTTTGTCTTAACGTGTCCTAAAGCAGTGTTTCTCAAAGTGGTCTGCAGACTCACTCTGAGAAAGCTGCTAACGGGCCGCTCCAATTTGTTTACTTACTGGCTTCACAGCCACGGAGCCTCATGCTCCCATTGGCTGTAGTTTACCATTTGCAGCCAAGGGGAGCCGCGGGAAGCATCATGACCCAGGCCACTGCTTCCTGTGTTTCCCCTTGGCTGCAAACAGTGAACCGCAGCCAATGGGAGCCATGAGGCTATGAGGCTGCGAAGCCGGTAAGTAAGCAAACTGGAGCGGCCCGTTAGCAGCTTTCTTAGAGTGGGTTCGTGGACCACTTTGAGAAACAGTGACGTAAAGGGATACTCATTCTTGGCTTAAACTAGTTGTTTTGTGATGTCCTCTATCTAAATCTTATTGAAATTGTACGTTAGGAAATGGACAGTCTTCTCTTCTTTTTTCACTTGTCTGTTCATACTTAAGGCTATTTTTAAAGATACAGTGAGATTATATGTATCTCGAATGAAGCTTTTATAAAAAAAAGTGTTAAAAAACAAAAGCAAGTAAAATGTTTTCTGCTAAATCTTTTCAAATTCTAGTGGAAAGTTTGTTTAATCAATAAACTTTCCTGTGTGTTGCAACATAAACTTTGCTGCTTTGTGCAAGTGTATAAGAACCGGAAAGTTATACTTTCTGGTTTCCCTTAAAGTGGGTTTAAATCATGTCTTTGGATTATTATTTGAAGGCTTTCCAGAGACAGAGCTTTTAAGGAAGTTTGAAATAAGAAAGGGTGTTTTAGTGGCTTGCAAAATCAAGGAGACAGTTTCAAACTTAGAGGACAGCATAAAAGAAGGTGCAAAGACAAGAGTGAGAGACTTGAATAAGAATAGTGCCTGAGCTGTGAAAATGGACTAGAGGGAGATGTAAGAAGAGTGCAAAAAGAGCAATATGCTCTAGTGTCCCTTTAATTGCAAATTAAACAATCTATGCACAGTCCTGTGTGGATACAAAATTTGTATGCATATCTGCAAAAATGAGCTGCAGATGTGGATACCTGCAGATATAAAGTGCATATCCACGGATATGCAGGGTTCTAGGTATAATTGAACATATGTGCATAGTGTTCCAGTCCCTACCCTGAAGTGATTTGTTGAAAGGTCCATTTAATTCATAGTAAGAGTAGCAGTGAAACATAATTATGTTTTGCTAAGGTTGTCCCAGATGTCTCTAACAGTGGCTGCTGTCCTCAAGAGGCCATTAATTTAATTAAGCCAGTAGTCCTCATATTAGAAATCAGTATTACTAAAGCATTTGAACCAAAAACCCCCCGGTTACATCTAGACTGCATCTCTCTGCTGACAGAAGGATGCAAATCAAGCACTTTGGAAGTGCAAATGAGCCCGGTATTTAAATATCCTGGCCTTCATTTGCATACTCCTGCTCAGGCGCTGTGCCGATCATGCACCCTTTTGAAAGTGAAAGTAGCTCTGCCGACAGCGGGGAGCTTTTAGGAGTACAGGATCTGCCGAAAAAGCTCCCCGCTGTTGGCAGAGCCGCGGCTACACTTTACTTTCACTTTCGAAAGGGCGTTTGATCGGCACAGCGCCCAAGCGGGAGTATGCAAATGAAACCCAGGATATTTAAATACCGGGCTCATTTGCACTTCCGAAGTGCTTGATTTGCATCCCTATGTCAGCAGAGGGTTGCAGTCTAGACACAGCCCCCCAGACTTACCCAGCAGTTTCATCATGCACAACTGTTTCTTCAGGAGGCTGTAGAATGTCCACAGACACCTTAAAAAATGAGGAGTACACGATCTTTCGAAAAAGTTTTGTTTTTGTTTTGTTTTTTAAGAACTGCGTCTAGTTGGCATTTTCACTTTCAAAATACCCGTTTTTGAAAGAATGCACGGCCGCTATTATGAAAATGAAGCACGGGAAATTCAAATCCCGGCTTCATTTGCAATTTCGATCTAATTTACATCCCTCTTTTGGAAAGGGATATAGTTTAGACGTGCCCAAAGTAAACCTAGCAAAAAAACATAACAAGTATCCTTGTTTTGTGATGAAGGCATCAAATTCTATAGAGGTTAAAATGGAGACTGGGAATCTGGAATATAACTGAGCTCCTGACTCAGGGTATATCTACACTTGCACCCTCTTTTGAGAGAGGGATGCAAATGAAGACATTCAAAATTGCAAATGAAACCGGGATTTAAATATCCCATGCACCATTTGCATAATCGCGTTATGGCGCTATTTCGAAATAACAGATGCTGCTAAGATGTGATGATTTCGAGAGAAAATCCTTCTCTTGAAATAACCCTTATACAATGTGGTTTACCAGTTATTTCAAGAGAAGGGTTTTCTCTTGCAATAACCGTGTCTTAGCTGTATTTCAAAATAACAGACACTGTTATTTCAAAATAGCTCCATAACGCGATTATGCAAATGAAGTGCAGGATATTTAAATCCTGGCTTCATTTGCAATTTCGAATGTCTTCATTTGCATCCCTCTCATGAAAGAGGGTGCAAGTGTAGGCATACCCACAGTCACTGATTTGGTAAGATAGCTGCAGCTGTTTTGGTCTCTATAAAATACTTTGAGATTCAGATGAGCTGTGCTATGGGACATTACAGTATTTTTGTATAGATGAGTTAGCTGATGAGCGAAGAGGTTAAAGGACATGCTCTACTCATGTTGTAGTCAGGGACAAAACCCAAAACTTCTTGCTCAAACTAGTCACCATGCTTCCATTATTTTTTCCCCAACTCCACAGCAAGAGGGCAGCTGGAGATGACTGATCATATTATCAAGAAGCTAATATTGAGATGGGCTCCCTGGGATGCAAACTGGACTGTGGGACTACTGAGCCCATCAGAACCACCAATTGGGCTGCCTCTCACTAGGGATGTGAAAGTGTAACCATGTAAAGGGTTAACCAATGAGCCTGGGTTCATTGGTTCCTGTTCACAGTTATACACAGGCTCCTGGTACGTGTGGGGAGCCAACTTAAAAATTGCTGCCCTATGCTGCTGCCTCTGATATGAAGATAGCGGCGCAGGGCGGCAGGCAGAAGCCAGTATGTGTTGAGTGCCAGCCTAAAAGCGTTCTCCCTGTGCACACTGGCTCCTGGGGAGCCGACTGCTGCCCCACATATAACTGCTAAAATTTCCAGCAGTTACATAGTACTTCATTACATACATTTTAACATCCCTGCCTCTCACATTGTGATATTTGGTTTGGTTAATTGCTCTATAAAGTCTTTTTTAAAAAATTTAATTAAAACTGTTGGTGAACAAATAACATGTTTTATGGGGTACTACAAGGACATTTACTTCACCGTTGTGTTATTCATTTGAAGATAGGGTCAAGCTTATGGCCTAAAAGTACTTGACAATGTCCTTTTAAACTTCAGTAGAGTTGGCAATCTATGATTTAAAATATACAGCAATTCTTATAAATATAACTGTATTTGAATGTTGCATTTAGGTAACATGGACCCTCCTTGCTTATTGAGGAGTCATTCCTCTTCTCCTTCCACTAAGATATTAAGGAAGGGGATGAACAAGTTTACAAATTCTGTCAGTGTTGATCCCCAAATTGGGATAAACTAGGACATTAAAAACAAAACAAAAAATCCTAAATCAGTTTTTCTTTATGTTGTTAAGACCAGGTATATAAAATGCTTTAAGTGAAGGAGTAAAAAATATTATATCACCACCTTTGGGATCCTCACTCCTTATCAACCTTTTTATCTGCTTTAGGAAAACACCATCATGCCAGTGAAACTCAAAATGTGATTGAATCTGAAAAAGCAGCAGAAATAACAGCTGAGCATGATCATGGCCACGACCATTCAAAATTACACGCGTACATTGGTGTTTCCCTTGTCCTTGGTTTTGTCTTCATGCTATTGGTGGACCAGATAGGCAGCTCCCATGTGCACTCTACAGATGGTAAGTAAAGCCTCTCCTGCCAAACTGACACTTGCCTTGGAGCCTGTACCGCAACCAAAATGAATGAACAAAAGCTGTATTTTCCAAATGTGATTATTTATTCTCTATTTTAACACAGTAATGTCCAGATTCCCCAGCCGGGATGACAGCTCTGTTTAGCTAGATATTCTACAAACATAAATGTAAGCATGGTCTGTAACATGAAATAGTGTTACTGCCTATGCTGAAAGCCAACATAATGTGAATATTTGCTTAATAATTCTTAAGTGTGTGGACTGTTTTGTGCTGACAGAAAATCTTCTTAGAAATAATAGATGAGCAGCATTGTGTGTTAAGGCTTTAAGCAGTGGAGAGCTGTGTCTAGACTACATAGCTTTTCCGGAAAAAGATATGCAAATTATGGTTCACAATTTGCATAGCTTTTTCCTGCTTCTTTTTTCAGAAGAGGCTTTTCTGACATTTGGCCCATCTACACTGGGCCAAATGTGGAGGAAAAAAACCCTTTTTTGGAACATTCCTTCGTCTTCGTAAAACAAAGCTTACAGGGATGCCGAAAAAGTGCGACTGCTCTTCCAAAAAAAATTTCAGAAGAGCAGACGCATTCCTTGGACATGGCAGAGTTTGAAAAACTTTACAGTCTAGACATATCCTTGGTTTTAATATGAGACAAATTAGTCCACTGACAGCAAATATCCAACACTGAAGAGACAGAGCCTTAACTTCATTAGCTGATTTATTGTTTTGCTTTGAATTAAACATTTCAGCTAACAAAATATTGGCTTAGTTCAGGCTGTAAATTTTAATGGGAGAAACGCCTGCATTATGATCACCCAGATTAACAATTGCAACCACAAGAAGCCTTCAGTGGACTTCACATGGGCCACAAAGCATGGTAGGGGCTATGGTGATTTTTTCACTGTTAATCTTCCTGAGCAGTTCCCCTGTAAGTGAATGCTGGTTTTCTTTGTACAGCAGAACAAAATGTAGTAAATATTCTTGAAAACTAAGCCATTAAATATTTGTAGTTTTAATGTATTTCCCTATAAAAGCCTTTTGAATAAAATGTAGTTCAAAATATTGTTGAAATGACCTTTCTGTCACTCTTCATTTACATCCTTATTTCTTGTCAGTGTTCAGCAATGTGCTTATGTTTAAATTTTGTTGATCTAAAGTTTTTATCGTTCTCTCCCTTTTTCTGGTTTTCCCCTCTACAGATAATAAGCTTTTCAACTTGATTGAAAGTCTTCCTCACATATGCTCATGTCTGTGTATTGACAGTTATCTTATTACCTTAGCTTCTCAAAGAGAGTCTTGGCAAATGGGGTAGCAAGGAACTCAGTTGAGCAATTTGTCTACTTTTTACAACACTTTTTCCATCTTTCCTGATTAGGAAAAATGGGCTCCCTTGTGTCTTTGACCTATTAAGTTGCACAGAATCAAAAACCGAACAACATAGGGAACAATTTTTCTGAGCCTTTGTTGTATCTGCTACATGAAATATAACTGAGAAACCGCAAGTGTTGCCATAATAGTTAGGGATTTATAAAATGTATTTTCCTGACTTGAATCTTGTACTGGTGGTATTAAATTACCCATTCATGTTACCTCGGTAGACTGGATTTTTTGTTCCTTAAACTAGAATAGCTATAAAGGTTAGAATGTAGTATGACCTTTAATGTGTTTGGTGGATAGTCCAGAACTAAAGACCTAGGTTTCAATTAAGAGGAATTAAATAATAGAAGAACTTAAAGGGTTGTGTAGCCATGTTGGTCCCAGAGCATTACAGAGAAGATGGATTAGATAATATGTTTTACTGGACTAAAATCAGCTGATGAAAAATAAGCTTTAGAAAGTGTCTCACTTTCACCAATGGACATTGCTCCAAGAGGAGAGATTTTCTTACTCATCTTGTCTCTTGAACTTGATGGGGGAGAGTGAATTTAACTAGATGGCCAGTTCAGGAAACAGAATCAAGTAGCAATACAGCTAAATAAAAGTTTTCTGACCACTTGAAATTTAACAGACTAGATGTTTTATGTTTGTAACCTTAGTTGATAGTCCTCTGGTAAAAAAAAAAATAAAAAAAAAATTCACTGATAAATTCCCCTTTTATTTAATGTATATGAGTGGGGTTTTTTTTCTTTCTTCAAAAAGTTAACTTACAAATAGATGATGAGATAAAAGTAGTTACCAAACAGTAGTTACCAAACAATTACAGACATGAATGACCTATCATCTACCTTCAATCTTAAGCAGTTATGCATGAAGTTCTCTTTCTACATTAAAGAGTATGGAAGGATTCTGCCATCTGCTTCAGTCCACATGATAGCGTATAGGATTCTTGAATGGCCACCAAGGAGTTGCTTATAGTCAAGTCACTGTTATAGCTGGCCCTTCTCCTGAACTGGGCCTTATAGGATATAGTGGGAGAAACAGGCTTAGTAGCACACAATAATGTGGGCATTCTGTGCTGCATCAAACTGTGAAATAGTCCAGAGGCAGCATTTAGGTGGCTGGTGTAAATTAGAGCAACTCTTGGCTGCTCTTATTTAGGCTGGGAGACTAGCCTTTAGAGTAGCCCAGAATCCTGCGTAAGCCATCTAAGTAAAAGCAGGGGTCTGCAACCTTTCGGAAGTGGAATGCCAAGATTTAATTCTCCTTCCCTGGGCCGTGCTGCTCTCCTGGCAGGGAGGGACCCAGGCCTTATGGACCACCTGGGTCAATGCAAAACCTTTTGGAGAACTACCAGTTGCTAATGGAAACTCACCATTAATTACATAATTACACCCGAGGCATTTTGCTAGTGCTGCAGCTGGGGAGAAGAGTTTAATTTAAATTATTAAACAGATTGAGCATTTTAACTTTCTCATTTTAGTTTATCAATCTTCATTTTAAATAAAGTAAAACATTATGTCCAACACAAAAGGTTTCAATGTTTTCTTTCTTTGACAGGGGTGTCACTGACCCACAGAAAAATCAGTTAGAAACCACACAAGTGAGAAGCCAAAAACACCTCCTCCAAAAACCCACAACCCTCACTGATGTGGCCCCCAACCGAGACACCTCATTCTTCTGGCACTCCAGCCCCCATGGGGTGAGGTGAACAGACAGGGAAGATTGATTTTTAGGGTTTCCCATAGGCCAGATTTACTTTTCTGGGGTTCCAGAGTTAGTAGATTTGTGGACCCCCTTAGGCTATGTGTTCAATGTGCGGGACAGGCTGCCAGCAAGTGGAATAGGGGTGAGGGTGCAGGATCTAGGCGGGATTTGGAGTGCAGGATGGGGCGAAGAGGGTAGAATTTGGAAGGGGAGTAGGGTGGCAGGAGAGGATGTGGAATGGAGGTACGAGGGGGAGTTTGGAGGCAGGAGGGGGTTGTGAGAGTAGCACAAAAGGTGAGGAGAGGGTGAGAATGCAGCCAAATAGCAAGTTGGGGAGGGAGACAAAGAAGTGGGGAGCAAAGGAAAGTGGCTTCTGCAAAGTAAAATTGTAACCCTCCTCACATCTTCCCTCTGCTCCAGCCTCACTCCCCTCAGCCCCATGATCCTCCCCAAACCTGATCCCCTGCATCGCCCCATGCCGCTCAGTGCAGCCCCTGTCCCCGCATCCTCCTTCACCTCTCCTCCTGCCCCCACTTCCCTATGCCCCAGTGCACTCACCGGCAAAGCAGCAGCGCTGAGACTTGGGGCCCCCTGGGAAGCCAAAGTCTCTTCCCTGCCTGGCCTAGCCCTTCACCTGCAGGCTGCAGCTCTGGGGCTGGGGCAGGCATTGCCTGGGGCTGGCTAGGACTGGCTCCAGCCCAGCCGGGCACAGTGAGGTGCTGGGAAAGGGGCTCCCAGTTGTCCCCCCGCCAGCCCGCGGGGAGCAGCCTGGCATAGCCCGGGCCCCAGTGTGCCACATGTGTTGGCCACCCAGCCCCAGCTCTGTGGAGCAGGCCCAGCCCCACACTCTCCCAAAGCAGGAGACCTCGCCAGAGATACAAGCGCGCACCTCTCCCTCCTCTCCTCTACCAGCAGGAAGCCAGAGCTGCTGCTCCAGCCTGCAGCTGTGTGGCTAAGCCTAAATCCAGAGCACGGGCTTCCCACTGCGTGGGGGGAGGGGAGGGCTGAGCCACTAAAAACTGGCTTGCATGCCACTTGTGGCACATGCTTTAAGCCAGGGGGCAGCAACTACCTTTCTGTATTGAGCTGGGAAAGGTAAAGAATCTCAAATTATTGTTTAGTTTCAAAAGGATTAGGGAAAATGACTGCTGCATCTCCCTGTCAATGCTCTCTTACATTCTGAAGAATAAAATATAGCACTAGTTTGCATGGGTAATCACTTAACTATTTAAAAATGGCTCACAGCTGAGAAATGATGCTTTGGTGTTTGATATGTTTTCTTCCAGCATGATTCATATGCTTGTTTATATCTTATCTTGTCTAATGCTTAATTTCCTGATGATTATTTCAGACCCAGAAGCAGCAAGGTCAGGCAATTCCAAAATCACTACTACCCTGGGACTAGTGGTCCATGCTGCAGGTAGGCTGAATTACTGTAAGATCTGAAAGAAGTAATCTTCTATTACTGTCAGTTTTCCTATCTACATTAAATAAACCTTTTGAATTTGAAATTGCAATAATTATTGTATATTCACCAAAAGAGATTTATGTATTCAGAAGCTCATGTTCTGTTTTTTCCTAACTAAGTTGACAATATCATTTTAAAATGGTTTGGGAAAAAAACACAAGGATTGGGATATATGCCTAGATATGATTCAGATAAGGATTTAGGCAGATTTTAAAAAAATCTAAATTACAGTAAACCTTGATTTTTATCTTTGTACTCTAGGTGCTAAGAAACAATATATAGAACTTTTAAAATGTATAAATAGTTGGTGGATAAGTATTAGTAATGAAAAATAACACTTCATCCAAAAAATTTAAGAGGCTGGTGAAACCAATTGGTCCAACACCATTGGGACCTCTTTGGTCCCAAATGAGGGATTTTGCCAGACCAGGGGAGGTCATTTTGGCCTCCCTGCTGTCCCACTGAGCCAGGCATCGGGCTTTGCAGCCCCCGGTCTCCATTTGGTTGAGCTCCTGCCCCATCCAATACATCCCTCATGCATCAAGCTGTAAAATGAAGGCAATTTTGAAAGCCTTGAATATTTGCCTTGAATTTTTGCATCTTCTGTTTAATTTTAAAACAAAAGTAGAGTAGCTTGATTAAATCCTAATATGAAAATAATATTCTGCCTCCTGAAAAGGTCCCAGGGTATGTCTACACTACAGTGTTATTTTGAAATAGCGTGTCCACACTGAGTGGACTCTGAATCTCATTTAAGGCTGGTCGGAACCAGTTCCAGCAGGGCACCAGGTCAGGACTTACTGTGTGGGGCTGCTGCCTGAGGCTATCCGAGTTCTGTGCTTAAAGCCTCCCCCCCCCGACAGCCAGTTCTCAGGTTTCCCTGATTGCTTATCTACCTCGATGAGGGACAGCAAAGCATTTTGTCTCTGCGTGCTCTGGTTGCCCTCACTCGGGACACCACGGCACCTGGGCACTCTGGTGCTTCTCTTGGACGCATTGCTGCAAGCCTGGCTGCGCTTTCTGCAGGCTGCCATACGGGAGGTCCATCGGGAGGCTGTCAGTATCCAGGAGGCCTTTGCGGGAGTGCTTCCACCCTGAGGAGCACTAAAAGCCTCCCTGGTCTGCCCCACTAGGGACTTGTGCTTCATTCCTCCCTCACGTCCTTCCACTTACCTCTCCCTAACTCCCCTTCCTGATGTCAAATAAAATACATGTATTTTCATGAACACAAACTCTATTTAACAAAACTGGGTGGAGGGAGGAGATGAAACTGGTAAGTCTGGGGAAAGGAGGCGGGAGAGGGGAGGGGGAAACCTGGGAGGAGGGAGCTGGAAAGGAGAAGCAAGGGGAAGAAGGGGGAAGGGAAAGATCAGGGTTGGGGGTCTCGCCGGACCAACTTGATTGTCATGCAAACCTGCTCCTGGGTTCGTATTAGCCTTTGGTG